TTGCACACAGATTCAAACTCACACCACTGTAGTACTCAGGTATACCAGATGGGGGCGATACAGGGTTTGGAAGTGCTAAACATAAGTAGGATGGGATTTCCTCATTATACCCACAGATACACACACAGCAGATACACAACACACACCCCACATATGCAATGCGCACACACACACACACACACACACACACACACAAACACGCAATATATCCTTATATAAACACACATATACAGACATCCTACATATGCAAAACACTAACACAATATATGCAGACATATACACTCTCATATGTATGCATGTGTGTGTGCTACTCTGAAGAGATATAAAAAAGATTCCTCCATTTTCTCCAAGACTTCAAGTCTATATTTTTCTACACATACTACACAAACACAGTCTAACAGACACGTGTTCGAACTATACCGTGGACTTTGGGGGAGCCCACTTGTTTTTTTTTTATATGCACTACTTGCTTTATGCAAGCACTATATAGGATAAATCACTATACAGGATTACCCTATTATACTTTATCGACACGAATTGATAGGTGAAACAACAAACAGCCACCCACAAATAGTCTATAAACAAAGCATCAGGCTGTCTTTGAGTTCAGATGAACAACGGTTAAAGTTACTCGTCGTCAGGCTACAGAAGAATACCATAATTCCTCCGTTCCGTTCAGTTAGGCCTAAGACATCGAGAGTCACGCAGACCTAACAACCCAGCCACAACACATAATTGCGAATAACATGCCTTACCTTAACACAGAATCGACCACAGAGTCCAACGTTTATATTTTTTCTACGAATCTTTGAGTTAACATGTACTAAACATGAGTGGAATTTGCACCGCAGCGCCCCCACACCTTGATGCTCATGACAAGAATAGCATGTAGTTATTTTTATTGAAGTGAATTAGGTTTAAATCGCTATGCATGTGTGTGTGCTACTCTGAAGAGATATAAAAAAGATTCCTCCATTTTCTCCAAGACTTCAAGTCTATATTTTTCTACACATACTACACAAACACAGTCTAACAGACACGTGTTCGAACTATACCGTGGACTTTGGGGGAGCCCACTTGTTTTTTTTTTATAAGGGGGGGTATTTTCTATGAATCTTTGAGTTAACATGTACTAAACATGAGTGGAATTTGCACCGCAGCGCCCCCACACCTTGATGCTCATGACAAGAATAGCATGTATAGTTATCTTTATTGAAGTGAATTAGGTTTAAATCGCCGTCATGCATGAATGAATGATATTTTTGCAATTTTACACATAATAATCCACGATGATCACATTACACAAAACTGAAATTGCACGTCAAAATAACACATTGTCAATATTTTTTGAGACCCCCCAAAATTTCACAAATCCCGTTTTCAGGGGAGCCCATGTCTTATTAAGGGGAGCCGAGCTCCCCCTAGCTCCCCCGTAGTTCGCACCCTGTGCTGCCCACAAACACACAGCGCTCTCTAGATTCTGCTCAAAGAGGAAAGAGTGCCTCATAGACTATTAACACCAACAAAAGAAAGGCAAACCAAAAATATGGATCAAAGAAACAACTGTTATCGCACAGTGAAAGTCAGCTGTTAGACTATAAGGGATAGTTCACCCAAAAATGAAATATCTGTGATTATTTGCTCACCCTCACGTCAATCCAAACCTTTCTTCCATGCAACGCAAGAGATGTTACAGAACGTTCACATTGCACTTTTCCACACAACAAAAGCAGACCAGAAGCTGTCAAGCTCCAAAATGCACTATAAAAATGTCTGAATCATATGATAACTTTGTGTGAGAAACAAGCTGAAATTTCAGTTATAATTCACTGTAAATCTTGCCCTCCATCACAGGCCTCAAACTTCACTCTAGACTAGTTTTGCTACATTTTGATTAGTCACAAGACAATGAATAACAAATTTTGGTATCACTCATTTTATCATATCATTTAAATTTTAACAACACAAACAAGACTTAAATTTCAGTCTGTTTTCATTCATTCACACAAAACTTCAAAAGACTTGAAATACATGTTCAAGTCACATGCACTACTTTTCTGTTTTTTTTTTTAGCCCCTTAAAGCTATTTGCTTTCATTGTATGGAAAAAAAGCAGTGTCACCATTCTGACTTACATCTATAAAAGAAAAAAATTCACATCATTTTGGAACAACATGAGGGTAAGCAAATGGTCACAGAACTGTCATTTACAGGGGAACTATCCCTTTAAGACGTAGATCGCCTTGGTGCATGAGTGTGTTCGAACCCCTATGCGTGTGAACAGAGGTGAAGTGTGTTTTGGCAGGGTGCTATGCTCCCTCTTCACACTCGTTCTACCCAGGGCGCATTAATCATCTCGTGCCGCCTGTTGCTGTAACACCCGGTGGAGAGATACACTTACATACGCATACACTCACTTACACACCCTTTCATTCATCACCGTCAACCATCGCCGTCCTCTCACATTCTCCCTCGTCTGGCAAGCTAACCCTGGGCTGACCCCTGACCTTTATGCACACTCGATTGGCTGTTTAATGACGCATTTAATCAGGCTGCAGATGATAAGGCTGGGTCAACGACCGCCAGAAGGGTTTTAGGTAGCTCATAAACAACACACACACACACACACACACACACACACACACATGAATGGAAGCAGGAATTAAACCATTATCGCCACTGCACAGTAAATGCGAAGCGCACACACACACACACACACACACAGCAATATATCAAACGCACATTTAAATCACATTTGTATCAAGAAACACACCCTCAAATTCACATCCCAACCAATCACGTTTAAGCAACACAGCACAACACCAAGGGATGATAGGAAAGCAGAGCTAGCTGATGGTTAAACGGCAACAGAGCAAGAGCAGTTCTGCTGAACTTATATAAATATATAGAGAGGGACAGACAGAGGGAGAAAGAGAGAAAGACTGAAGAATAAAGAGACAAATAGAATCACTGAAAGAGAGAGACAAACATGCAGAGAGAAAAAAAAGACAGAAAGACAGACAGTCAGGTAGAAAAAGAGACAGACAGACAGACAGACAGAGAGAGACATCAGGGCTAGACAATACGGACTGACCTGATGAAATTGTCACGGCGTCATTACGTAAGTTTATCATTTGCAGGCGTTTAGAAGATGTCAATATTAACATTAAAGCAATTTAAAAACCATTTAAGATGCGAAAAGAGAACTCTCCAAGATGGGCATTTGGACATATTTTGGTCTGTTTTTGTCCACTATAGCATTATTAGATGCGAAAGAAATGGTTTATGTAAAAATAACAGTTTTGGAGAGTATTAAGTAAAGTGAACATTAACATCCTGAAAAAAAATCCATGTGTATCAGTATAGTGGATCCGTGCATTCAGTCTTAAAGTGACAGTTGCATACATGTAAAACCTGCTGCGTTGGGCACTTCACTCCAAAATGAATATAGTCATCATTTACTCCCTCTCAAGTTGCTCCAAAGCTACATGAACTTCTTCTGTTGAACCCAAAAAAAAAAAAACTTGAATATTGGTAACCAAACAGTTGATGGTAGCCACTGACTTCCATATTATAGAAAAAAAAATAATACTATGGAAGTCGATGGCTACCGTCAACTGCTTGGTAACAACATTATTTAAAATAACTTATTTTATATTCAACAGAAGAAACAAACAACTAAAGTGGACGGTGAGTAAATGATGACAAAATGTTCATTTTTGAGTGAACTATCTCTTCTACAACAAAAGAAAAAGAGGAAATCACTAACTGCTTTTGACTGAATAACTTTTGTGCGTGTAATCTACATTTAATTTATACAGTGAAGACTATGGATTGTTATTTTACATCTGATTATTCTTATCTATTTCTTATCTGAATACTACCTGAAAAGCACTGTATTTCATTTTTATCACTTTTCTATTGTATTTATCTGTGCTATTGCTTGTAATTTGTTCATTATTGACTGTTTGTTTGTTGTAATGTTTGAACTTAGTATTAGTTTTTGATGTGCTATCAAATGGGAATTGAAAACTGTGAAACTTCAGTGTTAACCAAATCTAAAATGTTGGTGTTGTAACAACTTTATTTATTAGAAACATGGGCTCAAAAACAATGAAAACTAACTTTTTTTCTTTGTGGTGGGACAACGGAAAATTTCAACCGGGCAACATAAAAATCATTGCGTTGAGCCCTGGACATGCAGAGAGAGAAAGACAGACAGACAGAGTTGAAGACAGAAGAAGAGATCACAATACAGAATTACAAAAGAGAAAGAGAGAAACCACAGAAAGAAAAACTGACAGAGAGAAGAGTTAAAAAAAGAAGAGGAAAAGAGTTCGGCTGAACTGATAAAGATACCTTCTGTAGAACAGTTCCTGCCGCAAGCGGTCTGTTGTATATAGAACATCTCACGGAAAGAGCGTGGACCTTCCCATACGAAGCATTTAGAAAGAGAGAGAGGAAGAGAGGATGGAAGAGAGATACAGTAGAACAACAGAAGCAAAAAATGAAGAGTCGAAGGATAAAAGAAATAAAGAGGAAGTGGCCTGTGACTCAAGAAGAGGAGGAGAAAAAGAGAGGCAGAGCAGCGAAAGAGTGCAGAGCAGGTGCTGCTGAAGCAAACAGAAGGTATCTGAACACCGAACGGCATGCATGCTGCAAATCTGACTCTCCCATTGCCTACCAGATCAACAGATACAGGACCTCAGTGTCCGGAACATCAACATCACTGTGTAATAACTTGCCGTTATTAATATTACTGTAGAGAATTATTAAAATGAACACACTCTCTAATATTGTATAATATAATATAATATAATATAATATAATAATTAACCATCAAGGCGGTCATTAGTATTAGGGCTGCACGATATTGGAAAAAACTCACATTGCAATATTTTTTTTCTCTGCGATATATATTGCAATATGGGAAAAAAATCAGATGACTTCAATAGCTCTATTTGGAAAAAAAAAATCAATGAAAAAGCAGTGCTTTATATTTTTCAGGTAAGTCTAACAGTATTCAGGTACAGAAACTGAATAATCAAATGTAAAATAACTGCAGTTTTCACTATAAAATCTAATAAATCTGTGTTAAAGCTACAAAAGTGATTTTTCTTTGTGTTTTGTTGTTTGATTAACATTTATGACAGAGAAAGCAACAGGAACATTAAACTGCTGTGAACCAATATACTGTTACACATCCATTTTCTTTCTCAATTGTTT